GCAAGTGTTTTTATTTTGCTATCTGTTCCTTAAATTTTTGACAGAGAAACACAGGCTTTAACATTTACAAAGCAGCCCACATCTTAATCCACAAGCAACTCTCTATTAAAATTAGAGAGTCATAAGAAAACTTTAGAAGGAACCCCAGAAAGTAAACTCAGACCAACTCCTACTCAAAACAGAGCTAGGATACAAGTTAGATCAGGTTGCACAGGGCTTTGTTCAGGTGTTTGGAGAAGCTCCAAGATTTTTTTATACCACATCTTTGGGCAGCCTGTTTGAGTGCTCCCATGCTGAAGGCTCTGTAATAATGAAACTTCTAGTTGTTTAAAGAAGGCTTGACACATTTTCTCAGTTTGATAGAGCAGTCAGTAGCAGGTGTCCCCTATGATGTCTCCTTGCTGGCCTCCTCTTAGACCCTGACATAATTCCACAGAAGAACTCCATGCATTTAAGAATCTTCCTTTCATTCACTTTCTCAAAGTTAAAACTGTATCAAAGACTGGCAGCTACAAGAAAACACACCTTTATTTGACAGGTTATAAAGGCTGGCCTTGGACACCACAGTAATGTTACCTCCACATTAAACTGGCTGTTCCTTCAGTGGGTAGTAAATGACATAGCTACTTCCACCTTCTCTCTTTTCTTTCCTAAACAAAAGAATTTGGAACTTCCTAATTCAATCATCTGTCAAAATAGCTTTGTGACTCAGAGTAATGAAAGGCTACTGCAAAAACTATCAATGAGACAACTTGTCCCCACGCTTTCTTAAGTCCCAAATCTGAGCAAAATCAGAAGCATAGAATTAGTAGGTATATGAAGAAACCACAAATATTTCCAAGTGTTATGTGCAGTAAATTATGGTGACAACATTTTCACATGCTGAAGGGCTAACAAAGAATAGAGTTATGGAGTGGGTATATAAAAACAAAGTAACACAGAAATTGAACTTATTATATCCATGTTTGGACAACACCTTAACATACCAGCAGGTTCCTTAACAACTTCAAGCAAAGATGCTACCATTGGTTGCAACTGGAACTAAGGAAAACAGTGTAATGATACTTAGTGGATAATCCTAACCAAACCACTGACTAAACTTTGCATCTTAAAACCCAGCAAGTTTGTTTCTTCAAGCAGATGTATTGAAAAACTTTCATACATTCCTTGAATCTCAGATAAAAGAAAAAAAATATTTCTAGTACTTTGATTACTAGGAGATTTTTCACAGAAACAGAAGAAGAATTAACTTTTCCTACTTTTGGCTTAGTGAAATGGCTTTGCCTACAAAGTGACCTATATGATTCTGTATAGAACAAGCATAACATTTAATGCATTTATCACAACTGCCATTTACTCTTGAATAAACTTTTTCTATGACCTTTGCCTGCTGCTATTGTAGTAGTGTTTAAAGTTCATAACGTGCTGCCCAAGCTGCAAGCACACTGGAAAAAAACTACATATAAAACATCTCAAAGCAGTAATTCAGAACTTCTAAGTGGTGTGGGCAGGTCAGTTCATTTTAGAGTAATAAACACCAAACTTTTAATAATATTCCCATCTCAATTGCCTCACTGCTCCTTTCCATCTTATTACACTTGAAAAACTGTGGCCATAAACCACTGGGATTGATTAAATCCCTCTAGAATACTAATCAAGAGATATGTTTTTGTTCAGTGCCTAGTCCCATAGAGCTTCATTAACCTAATTTCCAAGTGCCTCAAAAAACAATTAACTGATCCAGCAGCTCTCCCAAAGATGTTTTATGCCCAAAGGTCCCCTGGCCAAATTAATCTTTCTCAGAATACCAGAAGACATGTTCATTCTTCAGTCTACTTAACACTGCATTGGTTTCATCATCCACCAGTGAATAGCAGAGGGCTAACAAATACAGGCACATTGTGCAGGTACAGGAAGGGGAACAAAAGTAAACAACAGGGCAGAAGTAAAACCTTCCACCATGCACACTTCCAAATTTATGATCCCTACATATTACAGGGGAAAGCTGGGGATTCCAGAATGGTTTATACAACTGTCAGTAAGCTGATGGCAACTTGTCAGGCGTCTGAGTTTGACTTGACAATGTGATGGAGTACCCTGCTCAGAGTATCAGAAGCAGGGCTTCTGCACAGCAGGGTCAGACTGCATACAATAGTCCTGGAGACAGGACCAGTATCACAAATATATATATTTATTTGTTTGTTTATTTATTGATTACCTTCTGGTTGGTCATTTGCAGGGGTTTTTTTTGTCTCTTAGAAAATTTCAAAGCATGTTACTATTGTGTTATTGATGTACTGCTTTTTGAAGCAAAGACTTCTGCTTTCCACAGTAGCCCTCTAGTGTTCTTCTATCAAGATTTCCTGGTGTGGTAGGTTCTTAGGTTCTGCAGATGAGGCAAGACAAAGTCCAATGTCTGGAATTCATCCTAGGTTCAGGTTTTGTCTGCATCAGCAAATAGCATGGCACAGTAGGAGCAGTGAGTGCACAGTCCTTGCACTGCTGCTGAGTACAGACTGCCTGTACTGTATGTGGACATAGGTACAGCACAACTTCAGACTTTTTGTGTTAAATGTCAGCTGTCTCCCTAGCAGACACCCAAGCAAGGGTTCTGAGGATGAAAATCTATGCAGAGCTGGTGAGGTTGCCTCTTCAGGCAAAGTTCCACTCTGTTCATTGTCTGAAAGGTACATACTCCTCCCAGTTATGAACTCTGAACTGAATGGAGAGGTTTTTTCCAAAATCATGCAGTGATAATTTTAAGAGGTGGAAAAAAAAGACACCAACAAAGTCAGAAGCGGACAAAGTTTCAGCCTTGCCCTCAAATTGGCAAGTGAGTGTACCCACTCTCTTTGGGGCAGTGCCTCCATAAAACGGAAGGAAACACAGGGCACGGAGATACATGGTAGACAACCCACCCTCACAGCAGCACATATCTCTCTGAAGAGCCTTAATAGCCTGTCAGAGTCTGTCAGGTATTGGAGTAAAATGTTTCTTAAAGTGTATATTTTAAAACATTGACTTTTTACATTTCTTCCTCCTCAGATTTGCCCTGCTGGCGTTGCCAGCTCTGGTGAGTGACCTGTGGAGGATGGTGTGGCATGGCACAGTGTAAGAAATCCATGGCAAACCAAGTGTGGAAATCATCGCTCTGCATTCTCACGGCCCTTAAAGAAAAACCAAAAGAACTGTGTGCCCAGGTGGCCAAAAAGACCAACCACATCCTGGCCTGTATCAGTAATAGTGTGGCCAGCAGGAGAGGGAAGGGATCATCTCCCTGTCCTCAATACTGGTAAGATCAAACCTTGAATCCTGTGTCCAGTTCTGGGCCACTCCATTCAGGAGGGACATTCCAGTATCCAGAGAAGAGCAATGAAGCTGGTGAAGGCTCTGGAGTGCGTGTCCTATGAGGAGCAGCTGAGGGAGCTCAGGGGTGACCTTTTCAATCTCTACAACTGGCTGTAAGGAGGCTGCAGCCAGGTGGGCATCGGCCTCTTCTCCCAGGCCACCAAGAACAGAAGAGGAGGGCATAACCTCAAGCTGTGCCAGTCTGGACACTAAGAAAAGTTTCTTTGGGGAAGGAGTGATTAGACGTTGGAATGGGCCCAAGGAGGTGGTGTAGTCACCGTCACCATCCTTGGAGATGTTAAAGGAAGGACTGGATGTGGTGCTTGGTTCCATGGTCTCGTTGATGTGCTGGTGTTCAGTCATAGGTTGGACACAGAGGTCTTTTCCAGCCTATTTGATTCAGTGTCTCTGCGAAACACGGGGCGGCGGGACACGGCAGGGCTGTGGCGGAGGGGCAGGCTGGAGCTCAGCC